GTAGATCTCCGCTGCCCCTTTTCAATTTTCTCTCTTCTTGCCTCTTTATCTTGACGGAATTTGTCGACAACATAGATCTACATTTTCTCCATGTTGAACTTTCCGTCATCTTGCAATCTACTGGAGGCTGGTCGCCAATTACAAGTCAAGTTGTTTATACTCGGATGACGTCATAATATTATAATCCGTCCGCTTCCATCTTAACGTCTTCATTGATGGACCTGATTTTAATCCACCTTAATCCAAGCCAGGTGAAAATCAAGCGTTGATATTTTGATTTTTTTTTTCTTAAATAATTTGTTAAATAATCAATCTGAGTACATATTAGCAAGGATTACGATGTGTGCCATTTTGCTATTATCCGACAAAATGCAAACCACACACTGTTACTTTAACAGAACATTTTAAGTTAGAAAAAAATATCTGTAATATGCAGGTGTAGCTGGTCCATAATATATCGACATTACCCACCGATATAATATTCTAAGATTTAAATATATCGACATAACCCCTGGTATACGGTATAATATTCTAAGATTTAAATATATCGACTTAATCCACCGATATAATATTCTAAGATTTAAATATATCGACATAACCCATCGATATATTCTAAGATTTAAATATAAGATATAGCGCTTTACATTCGGAAAACAAGAGACACACTGTAGCTAGCTATATTTTACAATTCTTCCTAGTCTCAAATAACTAAATGGCTGGTATGACCGGCGGAGTGAGTTCTGCCGAATGCTATTTCCCCACCCTATTTTATAGGTGCCTATTCCTTTGTCTGAGGTGTTAATCTAAAGACTGATAACAACTAAGTTCTAAATATGGAAAGGACATGCACCCCAAACTGAACATCGCCAGGGATTGTTACCATATTTGGTCAACATATGTTTTATAACAAAGAAAGACGTGTGAAGGAATCGAGTTAGAGATGCCGAGACTTACTGAAAATCAACGGAATGAAGCCATGGGAATGTCCAGGGCTGGCATGTCTACACGTGCTATTGCCACACTTCAATTATCATCAGTCCACTATTGTAAGGTTGGTGGAACGTGTTCGAGTTACTGGATCAACACGTGACCGTCAACGTCCTGGTCCACAACGCGTTACAACCCAGGCTCAAGACCGCTACATCCGGGTCACTCATCTGCGTGACAGATTCCGCCCAGCGACACGAACAGGAGCAGCAGTCGTCGGAAGACAAGGACCAGTAAGTGCCAACACCGTAAGACGTCGTCTATTATAAGTGCACGACGACTTTATGTTGGAGCTCTCGTCGGGAATCATCACCATCAGCGGCGTTTGATATGGGCTCAAGGACACCAGACATGGAGAAGAGTATACTGGCAAAGTGTGCTCTTCAGTGATGAGAGTGGCTTTCATCTTGCAGACTGCTACGTCATCGAAACAAATCGATGGGCTGGGGGGAGTGTAATGGTGTGGGGAGGCTTCACATTTCTTCACCGGACCGCCCTACACATTTGCAGGGGTCGCGTTAATGCTGTAGCCTACCGTGATGATGTCTTGCAACCAATTGTTGTTCCGATGTTTCGAACGCACCAACAACTTCAGCACTTCCAACAGGATAATGCACTTCCGCATACCGCCCGTTTTAGTCTGGACTACCTGGCTGCTAACAACATCAATGTCTTGGACTGGCCAGCCATGTCTCCGGACATGGCACCGATAGAACATGTCTGGGATGAGATTGGACGCCGTCTGTATCGGAGACCACAGATGCACACCATTGCTGCTTTAGAAGCTGCTCTTGTCCAAGAATGGAACGATTTGCCCCAGGCCTTCTTTCAAACATTGGTAAATTCCATGCGACGTCGCTGCACAGCGTGCGTAAGAGCCCGTGGAGGACACACGCGCTACTGACATCTGTGTCGTACTTTTGGTTTTGACCCCTCTGACTTTGTACCGTTGATTACAGATTAAACATCCATAAGTGTACAAATGTGTTGTTATTGATGTGTTTCCATTTGAATATTGTTCACAATAAGAAGCAAAATAAATAAGATATGTTTACAGGATCATTTTGTTATACGAAAAACTAAGTGATGCGTTTTTCATGGCGCTCAGTATATAACAACTCTTCCAGATGGCTAAATCTATTTAAGGCCAGCTCAATTTTCGTGTTGATGAGATTCTAGGTTAGGGTAAGCATTATGGCTAGGTTCACAGTTAGGGCTAGGTTTGGGATTAGCGCTAGCCCTGTTTAAATCTCGTGACCTTTGACCAAACTTGAAGTTGGGCTTATCAAATAGATCTAACCCTACCAGATCCTAGTGTAGAAAAGACAAGTAAAACGTAATTTTAAACAATAAAAAACCAAACGAAATAGGATCTGTGTTTTAATCAGATTGGTGTAAATGGAATTTACGAATCGGCGAAAAAATGACTGTATCATCAAATAATTCATTTCCAATGAAATTTTTAACTTTTAGATTACTGGTGGGCACCCTAAAAACACTTACTTACAGTGAAATTAAAAATTCGTATATCAAATTTAAACATATGTATTGCCGTACGAACATTATTCGACTGGTTGGTACAAGTCAAACACTGCAGTCGCTTCTCAGAGTGATAACTGAGGCCACGAGAGAGAGAGATAGAGAGAAATTGGGTTTAATGTCCACTCGACACAAACTATGTCATTTCGGGACTGACATTTGGTTCAACTTTATTTACATAATTCGCTTGTGCGTAGGGGTCTTTAGCATTGGGAGGAAACCGGGGGACCCGCAGAAAACCCACGAGGTTTGACAAGCGACTCTACGCCTGTCACGTACAACCGGGGATTCGAAACCATGCCAGTTGACTCAATGATAGGCTTTATGATACAGCGCGCACTTGCTAACCATTCGGCCATCCAACACCCCCCCCCCCCCCTGTGGGCACGAAAGAGAGAATAGTTCACCATAGAAAATTCTAATTAATTGTTAAATGAAGTGGAAGGCGCTTATAATTTATTTCATACAGTATCTTTCACAATAAATCTAGACTCATATCATAACATAATGTTTTTATTCAAAATATTTCTAAACTAATTGCGAAAACCCCAAGCACGGGTCTAATTGGAGCAAAGCATTCAAATATTGACTTTTGATTGGCTAAAAATTCTGAAATTTGAATATTCCTAATAAAATTCTGTAGTTATATCAGGACAAATTAAAAAGCGACAATGCCCTTGGTGGTCTTTCTTTTTGTTTGGTTTGGTTTTGTTTCGTTCATTTTTCCATTGATATATAACTTTATATGAATTTAAGGGAAAACACATCAGAATATATTTTAGGTAGTATGGCCCTTGAACCATAGTATACAATTTGTAACAATTATGTAATTCATAAAAAAATATCACTTTTCACAAATCAAACGCCAGTGTTCATAATTTTATCACTGGACCGTGATTTGTAGAAGCAAATACGAATCTTCTGATTAAATTTGGAACAGAAAAATAATTTCCGATCCGGCACAAAATAAATTACAAAATACTAAAAATTCTAAAGTGTTGAAATGAAAGGTGGCTCATTTTACAAAAACAAAAAGGGGCGACAATATACGAACTGATTAAAATATGCTCGTGTAAAATTTGATACCGGTACTGATGAAAGTGAAATATTAGTGTTTAGTTTAATTTATTAACCCTATAGTGCCATATCTGACACCGGAACGTTGTGCTTGACCGATATGCATACCTAAATATGATTTGTAACCAAGGTGATTTGACACATTTTTTCCTATAAGAATAACACATCCACCACTGGATCCACCGTTACTATCTGCGGTATGATTTACTATCATTGCATTTTGAAGATGCAAATCTTTAGATGATCCAATAGCAGTAGCATCGTCAGAGTATGGCTGGCCTAAACTAATTTGTTTCACTTTCCCAAAGCTTTTTGGAAATGATATAAGAACAACAAACCAATCTGAGTCATATGGCCATGGCGGCTCTAAATGAAAAAGTTCTTTGGTTTGATTTGGTACGGAATCAGGATCAATATATAGTTGACTGCATGTTGTATTGCACATCCCAGTGTCTGTACACACAGCACTAGTTCCATCTTGAAAATGTACGGAATATTCGGATGCGTTATCTGCATGATTATATGGTATGGGCGAGTGGATGACGTACTGGTTGCCAGACATATCATATTCAACTAATGCTTTCCTTCGTCTTCCCTCCTTCTTAATTTTTATATCAACCACTAAATCCTTAACATCACGCATTTCCGTGTAACAGGACGGCACTTCATCATAACTATTCAGCCGATAAATAGCCTTATCTTGAGACAGACAACTTCCAATTCTTTTAGCTATTGTACTACGTGATATATTATTGACAGTATTACCAAATATCACTGTAATCGTTTCGTTTTCTTTAACCAAATGTCTACATGTTTGAACATAGTAGTCGTTGTCACGTTTAAACACAATTCCACTGCCTCTTACTGTCTTACTGCCCCTCTTTCTTTCAGCGCGTACATAAACAACCCGCTCTGTCATTTGTCCTATCAGGCGTTCTATTTCTCTTGTTTGGTATCGATTGGGGAGATTAGCTATGGTGAATTCGGTACAGGCTATGCTCATTTTGTCACAATTCGCGAAATAACGGTGTATAAGATGAAAGTAATATTTGTCCTTTAGGATTTATTATTCGTCCCACAGTATTTTCGTTGGAACAAAAACACTAGTGCTACCCGCGTCTCACTTTCTGTAGCCGTTTAAGTGATCCTAGCGTGTAAAAGCATCCATTAAACCGATCCCATATAAAACAAAACAACTATTAAACAAATCATTAAACTTCGATGAACTACAACCATTTCACCAATGTTACCAAATCACTACCGAGGCCCTGGAAATATATGCTTTAGTACGAACTATCTAATCTTTGTTTAGTTATATATTGCAATCATTGTATTATGAATAATATCATATTACTATGGTCACAAAAAAGCTACGCATTAGATAACCGTGTGAGTGTATTATTACATATCACCTTCGCCGATCTATGCTGGCGACTGAATACACAGGTGAGTAAAACAGTATAATATTTTAATCCTGTATTTCGTTTAATATTATTTTAATAAAATGTGTAAAACGGAAAGTAACCGAAACAGAAATTTATTTTGAACTCTTTATCTTCCAGTAACTTGGAGTAAATTATTTCAATCTTATTGTATTGTTGTTTCTTTTTATTGTGGCCTAAAGCGTTTATGGATGAACTAAGCCCTTTTTCGTCAAGACCCGAGACAGTACATTGATGATTTGCTATCCAGCATTAGATTGGGCAAGCGGCTCTATGATTTGAGCACTGTTACCAAACTACCCATGGCAATAATTACAAATAGGCTTATACTAGGCGTTGTGTATAAATTCGACACCTACTGAGCATCGATCGATCATAAATGCTTTATATCAAGATTGGTAACGTGCAGGGGTGATCCTTACGCGCAGACGAATTATTGATATGAAATTAAACCATATGTTACATCCCTACGCGCAAACGTATTATTGAAATGAAATTTAACCATATGCTAGTATCAAAATGACCTAATTTGTGTAGAGTGGACGAAATAATATTTTCTTTCGTGGTCTCAATTTACTAAATTTCTGTAACACAAGTACAGCTAGATGAATCGCCGGCAACAACACAGTTTACTAACTATTCGCTAAACTAATGATCTGTAAGGCCTTTACTCAGGCTGGAGACGAAAGGTTATATCTAAATTCCATAGGGATTTCAAAATTACCGGTGACACCATTTCATGGTAACCGGTTTAATATCATTTTCCAGGGTGCGAAATATTAAAACTTTTCTCCCTGACTTTGGCGTAGAAAATCGATTGACCCAAAGATACCTTAGCGAATTCAAGCCTTGCGTTTGATAAATTTTATATATTAAAGAAGAAAATATTTAAAAAGTTAGGGAATATTAATCATCTGTCCATTTTACGAGATTTCCAAAAAGTTATCCCGGACAAGATATTGCGAACTATTAAAGTAGCTAAGTCTCTAACTCAATATCATCCAAAACCTTCGACAATGAAAACGCGAATTATTTGTCAATTTTAATCAACATTGGTGTTGTGATCTTACGGGGAAAAGATGGGCTTCTGATATCCAATAATTAAGACAAAATAATCATTTTACCGTTGGTACACGAATCGTGCACCATGGTGCATTTCAGCGCCATTTTTAACAAGGGACTCGTATAAAGAGGCTAGATATATTCCACAACTCATTTCAAACGGTGACGTCATATTCTTATCTAGAGAGCATGCGCAATACATACTATCGGTATAGAGCGGAATAACCAGACGCTAGAGATTGCCATTGGAGTGAGACTTCTGGCGTATTTCGCCGAACATAACTGATTAGAAATTGAATGTAAATCAGTTTATATAAATTCATATAACATTATTATATGGGTTGCAACCCATTTGCGTCAATTTCTAGATCCAAAATTTTACCGTTACTGTACGTAAATGTATGTAAAATTAAATTACTTAGTCTCGAAGGGATGTAAAGAGAGAGAGAAATGTGGTTTAACGTCCACTCGATACAAACTAGGTCATTTCGGGACTAACATATGGTTTAATTTTATTTCAATAATTCGCTTGTGCGTAGGGGTCTTTAGCAGTGGGGGGAAACCGGAGGACCCGGAGAAAACCCACGAGGTTGGACAGGCGACCCTACTCCTTGTCATGTACAACCGGGGATTCGAAACCACGCCAGTTGACTCAATGACAGGCCGTATGATACAGCACGCACGTGCTAACCATTCGGCCATCCAACCCCCCTTCGAAGGGATGTAACAGGCGCGCAATGAAAAATCAAACGAAGACATTATCTCCTTATACAATGCTTCGAACTTAAGTTAATGTAAACAAAACATATCCACCGATGTACGAATACGCCATTGTTTTATTATCATTTTTATATGCCCACATATTTATGGGGCCGTATATTGTCGTCGCCCCTATCCGTCCGTCTGTCTCCGTCCGTCCGCCCACAATATTTATCCGATTTCAATGAAACTTGCAATATAGGTTTATCACCCCAAGATCTCGGAACCTTTCGATATTGACATGTATTGGACTGTAACTTCGTGGATTATGGCAATTGATTGTACGAAAAATCACGTTTTTAGCTTGTGAAGACTGTAGAGTCACAATTTCTATCCGATTTGGTTTAACCTTGAAAAATATGTTTATAACCCACAAATCTCGGTTCCTTTCGATATTCGCGCATATCGGACCATAACTTCCTGAATTATGGCCCCTGGCTGTACGAAAAATCCCGTTTTTAGCTTATGGACCCCATAGAGGTCACAATTTTTATCCCATTTAAAAAAAACCGTTACAATATATCACCGTTACACCCTAAGGATGGCTGAGTTCGAATTTCGTAAACATCCAACTGAAACTGACGGACAAAATGGCCGCCCCTCGTTCGCGCATAGTGTCAAAATATTGTGTATCCGGGTTGGGGACCCTCTGGAGGTCACAATTTTCATCTGAATTTGATGAAACTTGAAATGCATCTTTATAACCCCCAGACCCCGGTTTCTTTCGATATTCGCGCATATCAGACCATAACGTCCTGAATTATGGCCCCTGATTGTAGACCCCATAGAGGTCACAATTTTTATCCGATTTAAAAACAAAACGTTTGAATATATCACCGTTACGACCCAAGGATGGTTGAGTTCGAATTTCATGAATATCAGACCAACACTGCTGGGCACAATGACCGCCCTTCGTATGCAAATAGTGTAAACATCTGGTAAATCAAAGTTGTGGACACTCTAGAGGCCACAGTTTTGATCCGATTTTAATGAAACTTGAAAGTTAATAACCAAAGATCTCGATTCCTTTCAATATTCGCGCATATCGGATCGTACCTTCCTGAATTATGGCCTCTGATTGTACGCAAAATCGCGTTTTTAGCTTGCCCTCCCTCTCGAGGTCACAATTATTATTCGATTTAAAAAAACGTTCGAATATATCATTACACCGTAAAGTTTGTTGAGTTCGAATTTCGTAAAAATCAGGCCAGAACTGCCGGACAAAATGGCCGCCCCTTGTTCGCATATAGTGTAAACATCTGGTAAATCAAGGTTGTGGACCCTCTAGTGGTCATAATTTTGATCCGATTTCGATGAATCTTGAAATACATGTTTATAACCCAACCATATTAGTTCCTGTCGATATTCGCGCATATCGGATCATAACTTCCTGAATTATGGCCCTTGATTGAACAAAAAATCACGTTGTTAGCTTGTGGTCCCTGTAGAGGTCAATTTTTATCCGATTTAAAAAAAAACATGTGAATATATCACCATTACACACTAAGATCTTGGTTCCTTAACTTAACTTCCTGGATTATGGCCCCTCATTGTTCGAAAAATCGCATTTTTAGCATGCGGATTCTCTAGAGGTCACAATTTTTTTTCGATTTTAAAAACCGTTTGAATACATCCCCATTCCAACATAATGAAGGTTGAATTCGTATTTCGGGAAAATCGAAATGGAACTGCCCGACAAAATGGCCGCTCTTTGTACTCAAATTGTGTAGAAGTGTGTAATACAAAGGTTGTTGACCCTCTAGGGGTCACAATTTTTATCCGATTTTGATTAAACTTAAAGATCTCTGTCGCTTTTGATATTTGCACATTTCAGGCCATAACTTCCTGGATTATTGCCCCCGATTGTACAAAAAAATCACGTTTGTTTTTAGCTTATTCTCTATCCATCTCTTGCAAAATGTGGGCGTATCCTGCCTGGCAGCCGCTGGTTTTTATTATTGTTGATTGACAATTATTTACAGATTCAACGCATTTACTACAAACACTTATCTACGCAAATTATTCATGGCGCAATGTGGAAAAAATTACGTAAGTTCAAATTAATCTTATAAGATATACCTTCATGAATCGTGCCATACGCCCTTGAAAGTATCTTGGATTATTGGTAATACTGAATGGTGTAAGTTACAGCTTATCCCGATAGGGTAATTGTCTAAAACTGTAAATTTATTTCAAGAGACATGAACATAGATATAAGTCAAAAAACGAGAATTGCTTGCAATACTGAGGCTTTCACAATCCCAAAACGCCACGGTGAGCGAACAAGACAAGCTAAGCCCACCCACACATTACTTACATTTCCATAAGGTCTTTGTATGCGCATTACAACAGAAGGAAAGTGAAAAACTAATTTTAACAATTCACAACAAATCTTATATCCTCCAAATGTGTGATTGAAATCTCAATATTTCAACATATTTTAGAAAAATTGAAAGCGACATATATTTTCTAAATTCGACAGTTTTGAACATAGCCAGGAAACAACAATATAGGTTTATCTCCCTGAGATCTCGGTTTATTGCGATATTGGCAGTATCGGACCTAAACTTCATAGATTATTGCCCCTGATTGTACGATAAATCGCGTTTTTAGTTTGTGGACCCTATAGAGGTCACAATTTGTATCTGCTTTTGTTTAAATTTGAAATGCAAATTTAAAACGCAAAGATCTTGGTTCCTGTCGATATTCGCGCATATCGGACCGTAACTGCCAGAATTATCGCCCCTGATTGTACAAAAAATCACGTTTTTAAGCTTGTGGACCCTATGGAGGTCACAATTTTATTCTGATTTCAAAAACCGTTTGCATACATGTATATAACCATTACACCTTAATGACGGTTGAGTTCGAATGTCGTGAAAATCGGACCAAAACTGCAGGACAAAATGGCCGTCCCTCGTACGCAAACAGTGTAAAATATGGTAAATCAAGGTTGTAGTATTCTTTTAATAACATCTTCTTGAGTGGGTGGATCTTTTGGGGCCGGGGTTCTTATTATTTTTATTTTTTGTTCTATCGGTTGGGTCTGTAGCGATTCGGGCAGGTGTGGCTACACCAGATTGGGTGTGGCTAAATAGTATCTTTATGACATCCAAAGACAACCATATTTTTCTGCCATCAGTACCAACGAAATCGCACTCAAAATAATCCTTGATTCTTTTTTGTATGAATTGTTTTTTCTATAAAATACCACATCAAGGGACACTATCAAGCGAGGGGCATTATTACACAAATCAAAACTGTTATTGGAATTGTATGGCTTCGAAAAAAAATAATTGAAAGTTCTAAATTTTTTTTTCAAGAAACTTGAGATAAAATTCTTAATCAATCCATATAGTTTGTTTGTTAACATTGAGTAATTGGGAGATTATTCAGCATGAATGTAAAAGAAAAAAAAATATATCTATTTTGTATATTAAGTAACCATGAAATGATGAGGCCGTTGAAAACAGGTTGTTTTGCCACTGGTCAGTGGTCACCTTAAGATTCATATGTAATAGGAATATCTCATTGCCTTTAATCTAACTGGTTGATTGACTAAATCATTAAATGGTAATTAACACTAATCGTTGATTACAATCTACATCTATTTGTAAATCCACATTGTTTGAGCTAACATGTCTAAAATGGGACTCTAACACAGATATAAATATGATTTCTGTTAGATATACTTCGTTAGTGTTACACTTTGAGGTTTGTCAAAGTCGCCCTGTGTGTCTGAAATAGCTTTATTTAACGTCTACTTTCACCTAAATGATATGATATCGCGGACAAATACCATTACCCCAGCCCTGACATTATGAACTAAAAGCACACTGGTTGTTGTCTTTAATAGGGGAAAGATCAACAACATCAGCAAGACAATCCCTTTGAATATCGCAATGACAAAGGTGAAGTATATGTTATAGATGTAGCTGAAGACAGCACAGGTGATGATGATAATGGTTGTAGTGATAGTGGTATTGATTCAGACAAAGCACGCACCATTCAAATAGATGTTCCTATACCTCCCAGTCATTCTGTGGGTTCTGATAAAAGTGGATTTGCCTTTACCAATGGCGATGACCTCTACGTATATACCAGTTATCGTGCTATTTTAAAACAGGATAAAATTATTTTAAATTTTCTTTATGATGACGGATCTAATGAAAATGTAACTGACTATGAACTTATTGTAGAAAGTAAATTGTATAATTTTATGATATTCTATATTCCTGATATGTATATAGATTCCGCGAAAGAAGGTCCTACTATTGTTGGTATTGATACAGGGGGGTTTTATCGACATAGAGCTGGTGTTGTTTACACCAAATCGAATGTCATACCCTGCTTTGACCCAGTGGATGGCGATGATATTAGAATTATCTTCCCTGAAGGTTTGAAAAGTTTAGGCAAGGCGTGTGTTGGACTTGATTGTAGTCATAAAATTATTGAGATAAAAACAGAAAATCTAATAACATTAATACCACTCTGTGACTGGAAAAAGACAACTTATCCCTCAGTAACAAAAGCAGAAAATTTTGAAACATCGACACCAATCTATACCCCATTAACAAAAGCAAAGACCATCCATATTTCCAATGCAGGAAATGAATTCTTGGAAAGACCAGACTATCGCGAAAAGATGAGTTATGGAAGAGTTAAATCGGCCTTTTGATGTTATAAAAATCATTAATTAGACATTTATTCACATCCCAAGGCCATGATCAACGGATTTTTAAATCGGCCTTCTGATGTTATAAAAATCATTAATTAGACATTTATTCACATCCCAAGGCCATGATCAACGGATTTTAACACGATTGGCAGTTAATAATTTGATAAAAAAAATTGACATTGTTTATTGTCGTAGCAATGACAATCGAGAATACACTGTTTCTCAAACAGATCAAACTAAGCGCAGAATGAATTAATTTGACGGACATATTCAACATACTCCCTTTTCATTATCAATTATTTAACTATTATAGCGAGAACTGTACGCTTGTTATCTAGATCTTACATAATGCATCTTTAATTTAATTGACCAATGTCAGAACTGATATCTCTCTAATGTTCATGTATTTTAACTGTTTGAGTTTAATCTTATGTAACCACAAAATAAATGACGTAATTATAGTTAATGACATGTTCTTGCTATGGAAATAAAATTGAACCATATGTTAGTCCCCAAAATGACCTATTTTGTGTCGAGTGGACATTAAACCCTATTTCTCTCTCTCTCTCCTTTTTCACATTGATATGTCTGATTCTGATGTGTTTGTCTTTATAGAGGGTGGGGGGGGGAGTGGCCGAATGGTTAATGCGTGCACGTTGCATCATAAAGTCAGTGATTGAGTCCGCAAATTAATGAAATAAAACTGAACCATGTTAGTCCCGAAATGACCTTGTTTGTGTCGAGTGGACATTAAACCCCATTTCTCTCTCTCCCGCTTACTGAGGGTCGAGAGATGATGTACCCTATCTAATTGATTTGGTTTAAGTTGATAATAATGTGATAGGGGAGACAACTCTTTCAACCTCAAAAAAGCTTTCAGGTCTAAGATTAATAATTAGTTGGTCTATTTATAGCAATTCTCCCCTTTCCCCCTTTAGCATACCGGTAGCAATATTGGTTGGACAGAATTGTAGAAAAGTGTTTGAATTTACATTTTCTGCTAATGATTTAATGAATATTCATGATTTGAGGGTTGAAAGATCAAGAAGTAAACATGCTTCGTATGTGCAATTGAATATTTCTTATCAAATATTGTAGCCCAAAATGGAAATTCACTGGATCCTGACTGGTTAAAAAGTGGCTTCGAATGAGTATAACAGTCCTCTTAATTTCCTGGGCGACATCACCCAAGGTGGAAGGGTATCGCTGCCAATAAGTGTTAAGCAATCAATCTGCGCGATTCACTGTCAATGAATATTTCATGAGTACTAGAAACTCTTTGCAGTGGCAAAAAATTCTGCACCTCAAAACTTTATTCTACGAAATCATCATTAAATTTTGGCTGAATGTCATTAACAAAATATTAACAAATATTGATAATGCAGTAAATACTAACAAATTTAACGAATCACAATGGTGGTCATTAATTAAGGATATCTCTCTAAAACGAGGAAAACCATCTAAAGGCCCGGTCCAACTGCACTTACGGATGCAAAGAGGATGTAAAACGGGGAAAAAACGTGCCCTCCGTTTGAAAACGCCATGCATCCGTTGTGTACTCAGTGCATACGTGTTTCATACGCTCTATCCATCGAGCATCCGTTCACTTTGATTTCATCCGCGCAAAAAGTTTTGAGCTGCACAAAACTTTTATAACGGGTGAACTTCCTGCCGTGTACGATGTAAATGCGCGACATATACGAGCACCAAACGTTCCATGTCTTTTATCATCCGTTAAACGTCCACTGTATCCTCTCTGCATCCTCGCAACTCACATCCGCTCCAGCTGAAAACGGAAAGAGGGAGGAAAGATAAGGTACATCGTTAGTAGCACGGAAATAGAAAGGATGTAAGAGTATGCATCTCGTATATAAAGTTTTCAAAACGGACAAAGCGTTTGTATTTGGGATGTATCTGGTATATTGAAGGATGTCTAGAGTTTGCCTAACCCCTTCGGAGCTGTCATCCACTTCCATCCGCTAGGCTTCCGATGAACATCCATTTAACATGCCCGCTACATACTTCCCACGTTCGTTCTTTTCCGTTCTGTTTTCGCAAATTTTCGTCAATTTTGTCCATTTCTGGAGCGGATGAAAACGGATGGAGCCACCCCCGAAAGTTTGCTCGTCCGCTGTGTCCTTTTTGCATACTTTTTGTGTCCATCGGCCACTGGGACCGGGCCTTTATACCATCCCACCTTTATTTCATAAAGATACTATCTACTGTGAAAACCACGATAAGGCTGACGCATTAAACGATTTTTTCATTTCTCAATGTTCAGTTTCCTGGAAATGCGAGAATAACGTTTTTTAGGATTTTGAATTCTGTCTTATGGTTTGGATTCTCCGTACTTGGTTTTATTTTATTTTATCTCAATTTCGGATCTCTCCACAAGCGAAATCCAAATAGAACATTTGTTATCGTCCCTTAAGTCAAAACTGCCAAGCGATCCGGACAATGTTAAAAACTTTATTCTTAAAATAATATCGCAACCACTTAGCCAACCACTCAAACGACTTTTCGACCTACTCATAGCTCAAAACGTTTTTCCAAATTACTGGAAAACTGCTAATGTAGTCCCAGTTTATAAAAAGGGTGACCTTCATTTATGTTCAAACTACCGGCCTATCTCGCTCCTATCCTCATTAGGCAAAGTTTTTGAAAGGCTCGTTTACAATCACATATACAATTTTTTTATTAACTCAAAAGTATATAACTCCGTATCAGACTGGTTTCTAGAGGGGTAACGGTGCTACTTACCAACTTATTGAAATGTACGACTATATCTGCAAGAGTCTTGATAGTGGAAACAAGATAAAAGCTATATTTTTCGATAAGGTCTGGCACGACGGTCTAATTATCAATTAAACGCGGCTGGAATTCGTGGAAACATTCTTTATTCCCTTTATTTTATTTTGTCTCTCTTCTATTTTGTTTGATTATAATGGGTTGTTGTTTTTGGGTTTACAGATGATTGTATTCATACTAGTTTTGTTGGATTGATATACTGAGCGACATGGAAAACGCATCACTTTTTTTCCCAAATATTTTATTACTAGGTGGTTTTGTATGTATAATATTATGCAATACTATGAACTATTGTTTCACGCAATGCTCCCAAACGCAAAACATATTTGCCCGTGTGCACAAAAAACAATTGCACGAGATGCACATTAAAAACCCAATATTCACGTGCGCGATCGTGTGTGAGCCCTTTAAAAGCATGTTTTCAACTTAATGTGCAGTACATGAACTGTGAAACGTCATTCTGTCGTAATTTGTTGTTGGACGTGTGAAGGAATCGAGCTAGAGATGCCGAGACTTACTGAAAATCAACGGAATGAAGCCATGGGAATGTCCCGGACTGGCATGTCTACACGTGCTATTGCCAGACACTTCAATTGTCATCAGTCCACTATTGTAAGGCTGGTGGAACGTGTTCGAGTTAGTGGATCAACACGTGACCGTCAACGTCCTGGTCCACAACGCGTTACAACCCAGGCTCAAGACCGCTACATCCGGGTCACTCATCTGCCTGACAGATTCCGCCCAGCGACTCGAACAGGTGCAGCAGTCGTCGGAAGACAAGGACCAGTAAGTGCCAACAACGTAAGACGTCGTCTAAGAGAAGTAGGACTCCGTGCACGACGACCTTATGTTGGAGCTATCCTCAGGGATCATCACCGTCAGCGGCGTTTGATATGCGTTCAAGGACACCATACATGGAAAAGAGTAGACTGGCAAAGTGTGCTCTTCAGTGATGAGAGTCGCTTTCATCTTTATCACGCTGATGGCCGTCAACGTGTGTGGAGACGTCTTGGGGAACGTCTTGCAGACTGCTGCGTCTTCGAAACGAATCGATGGGGTGGGGGAAGTGTAATGGTGTGAGGAGGCTTCACATTTCATCACCGGACCGCCCTACACATTTGCAGGGGTCGCGTTAATGCTGTAGCCTGCCGTGATGATGTCTTGCAACCAATTGTTGTTCCGATGTTTCGAGCGCACCCACAACTTCAGCACTTCCAACAGGATAATGCACGTCCGCATACCGCCCGTTTTAGTATGGACTACCTGGCTGCTAACAACATCAATGTCTTGGACTCGCCAGCCATGTCTCCGGACATGGCACCTATAGAACATGTCTGGGATGAGATTGGACGCCGTCTGTATCGGAGACCACAGATGCACACCATTGCTGCTTTAGAAGCTGCTCTTGTCCAAGAATGGAACAATTTGTCCCAGGCCTTCTTTCAAACATTGGTTAATTCCATGCGACGTCGCTGCTACTGACATCTGTGTCGTACTTTTGGTTTTGACCCCTCTTACAGATTAAACATCCATAAGTGTACAAATGTGTTGTTATTGATGTGTTCCCATTTGAATATTGTTCACAATAAGAAGCAAAATAAATAAGATATGTTTACAGGATCATTTTGTTATACGAAAAACTAAGTGATGCGTTTTCCATGGCGCTCAGTATATATTTGTTTGTGCACTATTAATCTATTAATTTTGATTTTCTCCGGATACGTTCAGATGTGTTTCTTACTCGTTTGGCTTCCAGGATCCCGTTATTAAACCAAGCAGAATTCGATCTTAGTTTAAACACCTTGGTCATTTCAGGTGCAAGTGTGCTTTAAGGTTGTGTTTAAAATGGAGAAATATTGCTCAGTTTTCAAATTAACATTATTTAATAGTAAGTGCAGGGGGGGCTGCACCACACATAATTTACGCAAAACCAAATATATGGACAAGACATCATACTCAGAAACCACAAACTAACAAACAATTCAAAAAGAGTGAATGGATCCGTGGGATAGCCGTAAGCGTCCACTGCGCTGTACAGTAACGGGCCTGTGGTGACACAGACTTCACTCAAATTTGAAAACAATCAGGACCACCTAAAGATAAATTTTAAATGTTCGTATTATTAATAAGAACAGGTTTCGCTTAAGTTTATTGCTTTAAATCTTCCTAGTGCAAAAACGAAAAATTTGACCTTTTGACCTCCGGGGTCATAAAGAACAAAGGTGAATTTAGCAAGTTTACGTTTTTATTGAAATGGCGATTACTTCCGATGTTTTCATGATACAAGAATGGCTGCGCATTCACTTTCAGTGCGAATGACCTCATTTGACCTTTGGCCCCGAACATCTCGAAAACTCCCCAACGCCAACGGCTGACTGATTACCTCTTGGCAACGTATTCTACGCAAAACTTTACAATAGAAAAGTTGGGTTTGGTTTTGTGCCCATTTGATGACCCCCCCCCCTCCCCCTCCCCGCATAGAGCCTCTAGACTAATAGTCTTCGCAATTCCTATGTGAAACAGATTGAGTCTTTAGCAGTGGGAGGGTGGGAGGAAACCGGAGAAAACCCACAAGGTTGGACAGGCGACCATACTTCTTGTCACGTTCAACCGGGAAATCGAAACCACTCCAGTTGAATAATGTCAGACCTTA